TCTCTATGCAATAGATCTATAATATTACATGTTTTACTTTAAAATTTTAGCTGTAAAAATATATTTATGGAGCTAGGGTTTTAATGCTAGTTGTATTTGTTTTTTTTATAACTGTAGATCTAGGGCTTCAATTGAAGTGAAATTTTTGTGGCATGCTACTCATGTTATGTTTGATGTGTGATAAAAATTTCATGAGTATTGAATGAAGTATGAGTGAGTTATTGGTTTATCTTGCTCTGACATGATTTCTTGCTTTAGCAACTTGTCTTTTGAATAGAGGGTGCTATACATATTAAAATGGAGTGAAATTTGGACAGTAGACTATTGAGAGGATATGTGAGCCACTGTAATTTTTTTAGAATTTATTGTATACTTTTGGTATATGTTCCTTAAGTCACCTTGTTATCTAAAATAAATTAAGAAATGCATTAAAAGAATTTATTTGGTCATGGACCCTAGGTTTTCTGGTGTTCTTTAGTCATGTGTGACATGTTGGTAAAGTTGGTTTTGCCCAATTATGTGTTTGCAACATAAGTTAATAATTATTTTCTTGCCGATGTGGTTTATGGACAGATCTGAGAACTTAGCAAAGTTCTTCATGATAATGTTCTTTGTTGTGAAACTTGTTTATACAAAAGTTGTAGATAATTCATGTATCTAGCTACTGTTAAAATTTGGTGTCATTTGGCCAAGTAGTTTAAGAGTTACAACTGTTTAAAGTTAGAGTACAGGATTTGTTGCTCTCTGTTTTGTATGAACCAGTTTCTGTAAAGGTATAATTTCGACCTACTTAACTTGTGAATCATGCTATGATGGTTACAGATGAAATGTAGATAATTTCATAAGCTTTCCAAAATGTCTTCTTGCAAGTCATTTGGATTTGTGTAACTACAGTTATGCTTCTCTGAAGTTGCAATCAGTTTTATGTCCATGTCTGGACAGGTCTGAAACATCTACATGTTTGACATGTTTAACTTTGTAATTAGCTTTTTATGTAAACATCAATCTTGTATACAATTTCTATGGATTTTCATAAAGTCTTAGATCATCCTTGTGGGATGTTTGTAGCTTAAGTTATGTTTGAAACCAGTGACTGTTTGCTGCTGTCCAAATCTGCTTGTATCTAGAATTGTTTGCTTCTACTTGCTCTTGTTTGTATGATTGCAAATGGTTATCTTGGACACCTAGAGTTAAGGTAGCATGCCTAAAATGTTTTGCTAAATTGTGAAGTACTTGATCATGTATAGCTAGCTGGTTGTATGACATGCTTATGTGTGTATAGTGTAACATATGCTTGTTTAGTATGCTTGTTGCATTCCTTCATGTGTATTCTTTATGTTCATGCATCTGCATCTATGCATCTCATCCTAGGTACGCTAGGTACAGCACGTGGACGTGGAGCGCATGATGTGGAGACAGACGATGGTGTATGGTGGACCTATCCCGAAGGTGGAAGGACTGGACAAGTGCTAGGACGGGAGATGCTCACTTAGCGAGTGTCGTCTACCTAACACTGACTTGTGTCGGATCCCAGGCAAGCCCCGGAGCATATTAAGCCTCCTAATTTCCCAAATGCGATTATGATGATTATTGTTACATATATATATTGTTGCATTAAGTTTAGGTGTTGGATGCAAACACTTGCTGCATTGGTTACCCAATCCTTGTCCAGATATTGTTACCCTGAATCCTATGTAGCTCAGGCTCGAGTAGTGCTTAGCCCTGCTTAAACGCGGTAGAAGTCGGGTGATTTCCTGTCACCTGCGAGATATAGGAAGATACATGTGGCACGGTTGACTATATTTGCTATCGTGGAAAAGAACCAGTCTTAATTTGAAATGAAGACCGGACGGAGGCTTACCGGTTTGCAGTGACTCCGTCTGTGTCGATTAAGGACTGGATCTTTGAGCCTTTCCTGTTCATGTTGAACGCATGCCTCTCTCTTAGTTGGCCGTGTTCGATGACCGACCGCGAAGCCGAGTAGCTCACCTCAGGCCGGGAGTCGATAAGTATAAAGCGCGCCGGAAGGGAGCCGAGGCGTGAGTCCAAGGGCAGGTGATTTAAAAGTCCCGATCGCCCCTGGCGTAAGGGTAATCCTCGAGAGTGTCTTGGCGCTGATCGAACCCGCGAATTTGGTTCCTAAGATGTTCCAAAGGTGACTCCACGGCTACCCTTGCAAAGTATGCGGGGTGAGAGTTAGGAATACCCCTCACCTGAGTTGTAATTCGATTCGAATCGCCGTCTCTCCCGGTTAGTGAGAACTTGACGGGCTTATCTCCAATGTAGATACACTTAATACTTAATGGTTCGGAAATGATGATATGATGATGACAGCCTTATTATACCTGCTATGGTTATTATTGTTTGCTCCTAATAAGTGAGTGCTCTAGTACATGTGCTAATCTAGTGGACAGGTAAGTAATGATAAGCTTGATAATAAGTTTAAATTGGTTACTATACTCATAAGCTCTTTTATGCAACTGTGTCAAGCTAGCCCACCTGAAAAGCCTTGCATGATCCTTGGTGTCTTTTATTTCTGTTTTGTCGGGTAAGTCTTGCTGAGTACCTTCTCGTACTCAGGGTTTATCCCACCATGTTGCAGGTGAAGTTCTCGGCCTGTGAAGATGGTGGTTAACCGCCGGTGGCTCGGTGATTCTATAGTTACTTCTCATCTATATGCTTTTGTCGGATGATGTCACTTATGCTAGCAATGTATTTGGAACATATATTAATGTAATCTTTTGAAAGCTATGTTGTTTTCACTAATCGATTTTGAAACCCAAACTTGTACTTTTAATTGTGAACTCAATTGTAATATTATTTCCGCTGCAACCCTGTGTATGTGATGTGTATTTGCTTAATCACGCGATCTTGGTTGTGATGTTGATTTACCGAGGTCTTTCGGGACACTCGGCGGACTACCGGGTTTATATGAGTGAAAGTATGTGTGTGTCAACGTGTTAACAGGGACAACCGTACTTGATCTTGTATAAATTGGGTGGTTCTGTTACAAGTGGTGCCATGGACCTTGGCGTAGTGTGGTGGCAACGCACACATAGGCTCCGCGACGGCGGCTCCAGCAGGCTTCGCGGCGGCGGCTCCAGCACGAGCAGGCTTCACGGCGACACCGACATCTCCAGCAGGCTTTGTGTTGCCTCCAGCAAGCTTCGTGGCGACGGCTCCAGTAGAGCCAAGCAACAGTGACGCGAGCAGGCCTTGGTGGCAGCGGAGGCGTGACAATAAGCAGTGTCCCCCACCCAGTTCCTGTACTTAAATTCTCGTGGAGCAAATTCTGGTTTCTTTGGTTTAAGACGAAAAACCAAAGTAAAAAACTGACACTGAACTCATCGATTCTCCGTTTTACCAATCGGTTACTCATTTCTAAAAACCAAAGTTTGTAAAAACTGAAAAAACCGAACCCGATTTTTCAGTTAAAATCGATTGCCCACTCCTTACTTGCATAAGGATATATGGCAACATGCAGTTTGGTTATCAACTACATTTGGCAAGCTACCCATTGGGATTCCTCCGTATGCCCAGAGTCACGAGTTCACACCAACTCAGGTCCAAGCAGGACTTTCCATGTTGCGTTGAACTTTAGTTTCGTGGTATTGCAGCCATCGTGTTTAATGAAACGGGTTAGACAGTTTGAATCAGATGCAAACCAACCCCATACTAAGTGGGTGTTTGGATGGACTAAACTAAACTTTAGTCCATGTTTTCAATGCCTAATCGAAGGCCTAAATATAAACCAATCATGAATTAAGAAAAACTAATAGAGGCTAATCGATGAGTAGAACTTATTAGAAAAATATTTTTTTAGTTAGTTAATGTTTACTTATTATCCAACAACAGACTAAGCTTTAGTCCGGTGATCCAAACGGACCGTGGCCTTCATGCGTTAGGTTCGGTTGTACGCGATGTTTGCAACGACTTAATTTCTAGTATTGCAAGAAGTAAGCTTTTTTGACAACTTAACTTTTTGGAGAAATAGAAGCGGATAAAAGCTTAATATTTGGTAGTCAGGCTTTTTCCTTGTTTATGCCCCTACCGCTTGTCCACAACTCAACATGCCTCTCATCGCCACCGCTTGTCTCTGTAGCTAGGAAACAAAATAAGTGACTTTGGATTTGGGTCAGGGCTGCAAACGCGGTGTGGTTCGATGGGCCAGTACCATTCAGGATCCAAGTGAAAAATAGTTAGGCCAATCTTAATGGGAGTTTCATAGAGTTTCATGGGCATTAAATACATTGACAGGGCACTGTATTGATGAGGATAGAAATGGTAAAAGTTTATGGGAGTAGAGAGTTTCATGGGGATAAAACTCTTCTACACTGTTTCTAAAATATAGGTGTGTTGGAAACTGGGAAATGTAACTCCCACCGAGACTGGCCCTGTTTGGTTCTTTTACTCACTGGATTAAAGTTTAGTCACCGTTTAGTCACCCCTTGGGGACTAAAGGGACGAAACGACTTTAGTTACCTTTTAGTCACCCTGTTTGGCATTTTAGGGACCAAAACTGACTAAAATCAGGTGAGTAAAGTTTAGTCACCCCAAACCAAATAGGCCCTAAAGAAAAAGTTAATTAGTTAGATGGACTGCTTTAAGATGCGTGCAATTTAAAAAAAGAGAGTATTGCAGCAGTTCTCGAGAATGTATTGTCGATATATGTCAAGTGGGAAGGAGAAGTAACATGCATTGTGTTGCAACTTAATTATAAGCCGTATGTTCACCGATACATATGCTATATAAAATGTTAGGTCGTGTTTGACAAACACTTCAATTAATAAATGAGCACAATAAAAAATGAACATCAGAAAGCATTGTGCTAGAACGAAAATAAATCACACTTAACACAGCTATTCCTAGATGATTTTGAGACAAAAAGAAGTACCTCCCTGCACTTCACACACATCTTGTCCGTTCTTAGGAACATTGTTTCGGGGATAAATTAAGAAACAAAGTGTTGAGGGATCATTCTTCGCTGGCCTTAATCTCCATCAACAACCAATCCTTAGATTCTTTGGTAACCTTAAAAGAGATCTGACCTTGTGGCAGTTGTCACGGCTAAGAATTCTATTAACTTTTACCTCATCATGTTCCAATCCATAGCTAGGTATCTCATGAAATGCCTCAAAGATCTCTGATGCTTGCACAGAAGGCTCAGCGAACGAAGCAGGTTGCAATGTTGGATTGATAGTGATGCTTGCACGTCCCCTCTTAACTCTTATTAGCTGCTCGTGAACGACGTCTGGCGGTGGCCTCTCATTGCCCTTCTTCCTTGGTCCTACCAATGTACCATCACTACCACTACTAGGATAAGAATTGAAGAAATAGGATACGTTGCTGGGGATCAGATGACCATCTCGCATGAGTAACAACCCATCTTCATGGCGTGAGACAGAATGTATTGTTTTGCTTCTCGTGTTGACCATTAGCAGATCTACCGACCGGTCTCTATAGTCCCAATGGCCATCAACAGGGGGCTCGTGCAACCAGAAGCAGATGTGGTCAGGTTCGTCCATGCTCATGACGGGGTGGTCCAGTGGGAAGCACCAGAGGCTCTTGTAGGAGTCGAGCGCCCAGAGCATGGTGGCATCAACCATGCTGTCCTTCACCCACTTCATGTTGTCGTGATTGCCAATCCTCGTCGTCCAGGTGTGGATGGTGTAGGTGTGGCGATAACGTTCACAGCGGGAGTCACCGGCGTCGCCACAGCCGCAGCGGGGGAAGATTTTGACGAACATGAGAACGCCACCGCTATAGTTTTCCAAACGGGCCAAGCCCGCTGGGCCGACACGAGCACGGTACGAAAAAGCCCGGTACAAAAACGGCCCGGCCCGGCAGCTACAGTGCCCATGCCAAGCACGCCATGGCCCCGTGCCCGTGCCTGGGCCGCGATGCCAGCACGATGGCACAGCACGGGCATGGCCTGCTTCAGCGGCCGGCACGGGGGCGGCACGACCTTGAGCCGTTGGATGGAGCCCCCCCGCCTGCTGACCATTGGATCTGGGGGTCGGGTGGGACGGCTTTATAAGCCAGCCGCCGCTCCAGGATGAAACCCTAGCTCATTCCGTCGGTCCGTCATTCCGTAGCTCCTGGCCGCATCGAGCTCTCCGCCTCTCCCATCGACTGAAACCCTAGCCGCTCTCCTCTCTTCTTCCCACCGTCCGGTGGCTGGTTAAGGCAGCGATTGCTGGCACGGGCACACGGCACGGCCTTCTACACCACTCTTCATTCTCCCTGACCGTCGAGGTAGCTTTCTCGCCGCACTCGTAACCCTAGCTCCTCGCCTGCTCGCCGCTCTTCGCCACACTCGTAACCTGGGCTCCTCAACGCCGTCACCATGGAGTCTTCCAGCGGGTAAGGGGTCAGTGTCGGTGGCCGGTGGTTCCCACTTCTCCCTCTCTGCCCTCAATCTCCCTCTTCTCCTTCAGATCCGGTGGTTCCCGCCCTCAATCTCCATCTGTTCCCTTATTCTTCATCCCTGAACGTCGATTTAGCCTTGTTCTCGGCATCCTCGCCGCATCTCCGTCATCTGTCCGTCGTCCACATCGCTGGCTGCCGCCACCTCCTGGGCTCCGGTCTCCGTTGAGGTACCGGGGGTGTGCAATCGGTCCGTCTCATCGTCGTCGTTTATGGGGCTCCGGCCGTAGAGGTAAGGGTAAACCCTAACCCTAACCCAAACCCTAATCCCCAACCTAACCCTACTTTTATCTGTTGATTGTGGTAGCTGTCGAGGAACCAGAGACGGCAGAGATGGCCCCAGGCGCTGGGCAACACAACGACGGGGAGTTTGACCACTCCTAGAACGACGAGCGGCATATGTGCGGGATGGCCGGAGATGATGAGGACGATGATGTCCGCGAGGACGCTGCCATGCTCTTCGGCCGTTCTGCTACTGATCCCCTTCCCGTCGACGACTCTGACCCCCCAGTCGATGTGGCTGATGCCGACGGTGGCCAGAGCGAGGTTAGCCCTGTCGGTTCTAATCGTCCTTCCACGTCTGCTATCTGGGAGGACTTTGAGAAGCACTATGAAACTGAGAAAGGTAGAAAGATCAGGTTTGCTGGCGCTTGCCTTCATTGTCATAAGCGCTACTCTACTTATTCTGTTCATGGCACTGGGCATCTTACTCGACATCTTGCTAAGTGTCCTAAGAAACTTGAGAAGACCCGAGGCATGACTCAGACTCATATTGCTTTTAATTCTGATGGTTCTGTTCGTCGTTGGGAGTACAGTGCTGAGGTAGCTCATGTTGAACTTGTTCGTGTGCTTGCTATATTGGACCTACCTCTTATGATTGGTGAAACTGAGGCATTTAAAGATTATATTAAAACTGCTCATAACCCTAATTTTTCACCTGTCTATAAGCAAACCACTGGTAGAGATCTGTTTAAATACTACAATGAGAAACTTGATAAACTGATGGTCTGTTTAAAGGATAACGCTATTTCATCTGTTGCTATTACCTCTGATATATGGTCTAGAAAGGCTAAACAAGATTATTTATCTGTTGTGGCTCATTTCATTAATGGTGATTGGCAATTAGAGAAAAGGGTACTTGGTTTAAGGTTGATTGATGTGTCCCATAATGCTGAGAACATTGCTGAGCGTGTTGCATCTGTCCTTGCTGAGTATGATATACTTAACAAGGGTTTTTCTGTAACTTTGGATAATGCATCTGCAAATAAAAATGCTATGGATAGATTGAAACCTATACTTAAAGAATATTTGGGTTCTGATCTATTTTTGCATCAACGATGTGCTTGTCATATTATTAACCTGATTGTGAAAGAAGCACTAGCTGCTGTGAATCCTCTCATTGAGGATTTTAGAACAACAATCTCTTTTATGAACTCCTCTAATCAAAGAATTGCGGTATACAAGAGTTATTGCATTGCTAGTGGTGTTAGACCTAGGAAGTTTGGATTAGACATGGATGTTAGATGGAACTCTACCTACCTAATGCTTAAGCACTTGCTGCCTCACAAGAGTACTTTTAGTACTTTCATTGAGGCCAATTACCCTAGAGGTTCAGGTAGTGGTTTCCTTTTGACTTTTGATCACTGAGCTATGGCAAATAAAATCTTGGAATTTTTTGAACTGTTCTATGACTCAACTGTTGATTTGTCTGGTGTTTACTATCCTACTTCTCCACTTATGATTCATCATCTTGTTAAGATTGCTATACACCTGCATAGGTATCAACATGATGAACATCTAAGATCTGTTATCCAACCTATGATTGACAAATACAATAAGTACTGGAAGAACATAACTGATCTTTATTCTATTGCATTCATATTGGATCCAAGAGCTAAAATTAAGGGATTTACCAAAGTGCTTAGGAAGTTACATTCTCTTTTTAATATTGACTACACTAATAAGTTGCTGGACACCAGAGCTCTTCTGTTTAAAATGTATAATAGGTATGATGTAATGTATGGCTCTAATAGGCTGAAAAGGGTTGTTCCTCCATCCCTGTCTGGTAAGAAAAGAACAGCTTGGGCTGAAATTTATGATGATGAGGAGTTGGATGTTGGAGCTGGCTGTTCTTCCCTCCCTTCTAGTCTTGATCATTCGAGGAGTGTTTCTGCCACTTTCTTGCTGCAGGCAGCAACTGCCAGTTCTAACTCTAGTGAACTTGCATCCTACCTGGACTGTGACACAGTAAGCCAGTTGGATGATGAGTTTGACATCATGCAGTGGTGGCATGAGCACAAACTTACTTATTCAGTACTTTCTGTTCTTGATAAAGACATTTTGACAGTGCATGTGTCAACCATTTCTTCAGAGTCTACTTTTAGCTTAATTGGCAGGATCATCGAGGAGCGGTGGCGGAGGCTGAACCCTGAAACTGTAGAGGCGCTTACCTGCATAAAGGATTGGGAGAATGCTGAGACAAGACTGCAACACATAGTGGAGGATAAGGAGCTGGAAGAGGCCTTTGCTGGTCTTTATCTTGACGTCGACTAGTTCACTTCCCATTTATATAATGGTTCTGTAATAACTGAGACTTGGACTTGTGGTGATGGATGTAATGAACAATTAATCTACGAGCTGGCTGTACTCTTTTTCTGTTTAGGGTTTCTCACAAGGGTGAGTTTTACCTAAATAGGTTTTTAATGAGGCAGCCATTGCACAACTCCTGCTTAAATTAGTTTTAGTTTCAAAAGTTTGTGTTCTTTGCTGTGCTGTGTTTTGATCTGTTTTTGATCTTTTGTGAACTTAGTCATTTTAGATCTCTTTAAATTGCTGTGCTGAGTTCATTGAGGGGTTTTGCCAGTTTAGTGTCTGGGCCAGCACGGGCACGCTGAGCCTGGAGTCGGCACGGCACGACATGGCATGCTGCAGGAATGATAGTGCAGTGCCTGGGCCTGGAGTTGGGCACGGTGGCACGGCATGGCACGGTTCATCAGCCGTGCCTAGCGTGCCGTGCCCAAGCGTGCCGTGCCGGGTGGACTAGTGCCGTGTAGTGCCGTGCCGGCATGTTTGGAAAACTATAGCCACCGCCAGTGGTAGCGCACAGGTTCCGGTTTGATGGCTGCCCCCATATGTTATCCCTTGGGAGCGGTAGATATTGCATCCTGGGTGTCTCCTAGAACACGTCGCAGAGCACGACGCCGAACCGCCATAGGTCGACCCAGTAGAGTAGCTCGTCGCCTACAGGTACAATGGCATCCTAGAACGAAGGAAGTTGCTGAACTTCACTGGCGTCGTGAAACCTGATCTGCAGACGCCTGATGCTCCACTCACCAGCACGGAACAAGGAGAGGTCGGCCACCCTCATCAGCTGCGGCGTGCCCGGTTCCGATCTCGCCGACAACACCGTCTGGAGCTGCACCATCACAAGCTCGTCCTCGCCACAGCGCATGAGGCTGGTGCCATGATAAGAGTGATGGAAAAGCGGGAGCAAAGACAGCGACGGCAGCCGCGGGGGGGTCCACAGCGGCGGTGCTCGCATTGTAGACGAACTGGTCTGTCATGTAGCCTTGCTTTTCTTCTTCGATGGAAACCTCGATGAGCACAGAGTCGCCGTGGACCGCGAGGATCTGGAGGCAGACGCACGAAACTGCTGGGGGCTGTGCGAGTATTAATGAGAGCTTAATATTAATGCGAGTATTAATGAGTCGCCGTGCACCGCGAGGATCTGGAGGCAGACGCACCAAACAGGAAATCCGCCGCAGCGCGAGGATAAAATCTTAATATTTGGTAGTCAGGCTTTTTCCTTTTTTATGCCCCTACCGCTCGGTCAATAACTCAACATGCCAGAGTGGGCTAGGAAACAAAATAAGTGACTTTGGATTTGGGTCAGGGCTGCACATGAGGTGTGGGTGGATGGGCCAGTCCCATGCAGGATCCAAGTGAATTGTTAGGCCAATCTTAATGAGAGCTTTATAGAGTTTCATGGGCATTAAATACGTTGATAGGGCATTGTATTAATGAAGAGAGAGATGATAAAAGTTTATGGGAGTAGAGAGAGTTTTATGAGGATAAAACTCTTCTGCACTGTTTCCAAAATATGGTTGTGTTGGAAATTGGGATATAAAACTCCCACTGAGACTAGCCCTGTTTGGTTCTTTTAGTCACTGGATTAAAGTTTAGTCACCTTTTAGTCACCCCTTGGGGACTAAAGGGACTGAACTACTTTAGTCACCTTTTAGTCACCCTGTTTGGCATTTCAAGGACTAAAACCGACTAAAACCGGGTGACTAAAGTTTAGTCACCCCAAACCAAACAAGCCCTAAAGAAACAGTAAATTAGTTAGGTGGACTGCTTTAAGATAAAGAGTACTGGAGAAGTTCTCGAGAATGTATTGTCGATATATGTCAAGTGGGAAGGAGAAGTAACAGGCATTGTGTTGCAACTTAATTATATAAGCCGTATGTTCACTGATACATATGCTATATAAAATGTTAGGTCGTGTTCGACAAACACTTCAATTAATAAATGAGTACAATAAAAAATGAACATCAGAAAGCATTGTGCTATAATGAAAATAAATCACACTTAACACAGCTATTCCTAGATGATTTTGAGACAAGAAGAAGTACCTCCCTGTACTTCACACACATCTTGTCTGATCTTAGGAACATTGTTTTGGGGATAAATTAAGAAACAAAGTGTTGAGGGATCATTCTTCCTTGGCCTTAATCTCCATCTACAACCAATCCTTCCTTATATTCTTTGGTAACCTTAAAAGAGATCTGACCCGGCGGCAGTTGTCACGGCTAAGAATTCTATACACTTTTACCTCATCATGTTCCAATCCATAGCTAGGTATCTCTTGAAATGCCTCAAAGATCTCTGATGCTTGCACAGAAGGCTCAGCGAATGAAGCTGGTTGCAATGTTGGATTGGTAGTAATGCTTGCACGTCCCCTCTTAACTCTTATTAGCTGCTCGTCAACGATGTCTGGCAGTGGCCTCGCATTGCCCTTCTTCCTTGGTCCTACCAATGTACCATCACTACCACTACTAGGATAAGAATTGAAGAAATAGGATACGTTGCTGGGGATCAGATGACCATCTCGCATGAGTAACAACCCATCTTCGTGGGGTGAGACAGAATGTATTGTTTTGCTTCTCGTGTTGACCATTAGCAGACCTACCGAGCGGTCTCTATAGTCCCAATAGCCATCAACTGGGGGCTCGTGCAACCAGAAGCAGATGTGGTCAGGTTCGTCCATGCTCACGACAGGGTGGTCAAGTGGGAAGCACCGGAGGCCCTTGTAGGAGTCGAGCACCCAGAGCTCGGTGGCATCAACCATGCCGTCCTTCACCCACTTCATGTCATCGTGATTGCCAATCCTCGTCGTCTAGGTGTGGATGGTGTTGGCGTGGTGAGAACGTTCACAGCGGGAGTCACCAGCGCCGCCATAGCAGCAACGGGGAAGATGTTGATGAACTTGAGAATGCCACCGCCAGCGGTAGCGCACAGGTTCCGGTTTGACAGCTGCCCCCATATGTTATCCCTTGGGAGCGGTAGATATTGCAGCCTGGGTGTCTCCTTGAACACGTCGCAGAGCACGACGCCGAGCTGCCATAGGTCGACCCAGCAGAGTAGCCCGTCACTGACAGGTACGACGGCGTCCCAGAACGAAGGAAGTTGCTGAACTTCACTGGCGTCGCGAAACCTGATCTGTAGACGCCTGACGCTCCACTCACCAGCATGGAACAAGGAGAGGTCGGCCACCCTCATCAGCTCCGGCGTGCCTGGTTCTGTAACACCCTGAAATTTGCTCCTCTTGAAATAGAGCTAAAATGATTTAATTATATATTTTGTTCTCATAAAAACATAAGGAAATAACAAATTTTCACGAAATTAAAATTTATCATAAGGTACAAACATGTTTGAGCATACATGCCTTTGCATTAGATTTATTGTGTTGCGTGGTTTTGACCAAAACTCAAATGAATTCAAAAGTCTGTTTGAAAATAGGTTTGGAAAAGTGTTTCAGAAAAAGAAAAAGGGAAATCTTTTCCTCTCTCCCTTTCTCCCTTTTGGCCCGACGGCCTGCTCTAGCCGCCTCCCTCCCTCCTATCCCGTAGGCCCATTCAGCCAGGCCGGCCCAGCTTCTCAGCTACAGCCGCTCCCGCCTCCTTCCACCCGCAGCCTAGCTCCATGTGCCGGCCCAAACACCCTCCGCAAGCCCAGCTGCGCTTCGCGGCCCACGCTAGCAGGCCCACGCGGAGGCGCGCTCGCTCCGCCCCCTTTCTCAGAGTGGCTGACAAGCTGGCCCCGCACCTTCTCTCACCGATGGGATGGTCCCACGCATTAGCGTCCTTTTCCTCGTGGCGTGCTCAAGCCGGACTCGACCATGGGGAAGGAAATCCGCCGCAGACCGAATCCTCCGCGATTTGGCGTGAGCTCCACGCCAGCTACCATATATAAACCGGCCCCATGCTAGCGCACCGCTCCCCTAGCTAGCCCTAGCGTAGCCGCCGCCCTTACTTCCAAGCTCGCAGCTGCTGAAACCCTAAGCCGCCGCCGCCGACTGCACCTCACCATCTCATAGCTTTGCTGCTGCCTCAAGCCGCTCCCCGGTCTTCACGTGGTGATAAGCAAGCAGAAGGTACCGCGCTACTTCTCTCTCTCGCTCCCTGCTACCTTAACATCACTGCCGGAGCTTCGCCGGAGCCCCGAGCCGCTCGAGCGAGCCCTGCGCCACCTCAGTGTCATCTCACCCCTCCCCGAACCCTATATCGAGTTAGCCTCGCTTTCCTCTTCCTCCCCGTGCCCCCACTTTGCATAGCCGTGGCCCGTAGGCTGTTTTCCGTGCTGGACGGCGAGATCCTCGCCGCCGGCAATGGCCACCGCCGCCCCTGTCCCCCTGTTCCGGACGGCAGAAACCCTCCAAGCCACCACAGCCGTCCGATCAGGATCGGATGATCCCAATTAGAACTTACCCCTTCGCTGTACTTTTACAAAAGAGACCCTCGGTTTCTTCAAAATCAACCCGCAATCCTTGGCTAGATTCAAAATTCAATTTTTGTTTATTTTAATTCAAAATTTGATCTCAGTATTTATAGTTTTGCCACTACCTTGTTTAGGCCATATCTCCTACCTTTTGCCTCCGTTTTAATCCGTTCAAGTTGCATTAGATTCATAACGACGTAATCTATGCATTAGTAACAATGTTTACCATGTCACTAGCTCTGGAATTTGGTGGTTTAAATCCTAACATGAATAATGATTATGCAACATGATTTATAAATAAAATATGATTAATTTTACTTTAGTTTTCTAATTCAAATATAAATTTGACTTGATTCAATTTACATATTTCTCTAAAGTATCTTATACATGTTTTATATAATCATTAAAATAAATAAAGCCTATAGTTTTCTTTTTAAACTTCTGGTAGTTGTTTCTGTTACACCATAGCTCTGATTAGATTGTTTTTCACGTATGTGTGCTCGTAGCAATGCATAGATTAGTTTTCAAATCTTTTTATTGATTGGTGTACTGTTCTAATTTATTCAAATTTATATGTTATGCATGTCTCTATTCAGATGCTTGTGTGGTGCTTTATAATCATTTCCAGTGGGCGAGCTTTACATGGTGATCAAGAAGCAATTCTTTGAAGGTTTGGATTTGAAGAAGGATCTGTGTTTAAGGCAAGTATAACATGGGATCATTCTTGTTACCCATTCACCTAAACACCTATAATTCATGTGCATCTGTCTAATTTTGTTACCCATAAGGATTGATCTAGCTCTTGTTACCTTGTACCTTGACACCGATGGGTTTTGTTTGCATCTGGGTAGTATTTGCTAGCGCTCAACTTAAACAAACATGATCTGAATGTTGGCAAATGATGTTTTGCAATCAAGGTTAAAATTTGCTTTTTAGCAAGATGGAATCCCCTAAGGACTTATCTGTGAGCAAAATCCGAGACATACAGTACAACTGTGAGGGGTACATGACTCTGGCTTTAGTTCAGTAGAAGGACCTTGTCTAGCTTGTTAGTGTTTACTCGAAAGGGCGCAAAAGGGGCTTACCGAGACGGGTTTAGTGCGGCCTCTGTTCTTATGTGTATAGCCTGCGTGGAATGTGTCATTTGGAAGGGGGCTCTACATCTGCTTGCTGATTGGAAACCTAGCGGCTACTAACTTGTTAGACGAAAGTTTGAAAGACTTCATAGTGAACCCTGCCAACCTTCCTTGGAAGTGAGTCAGGAGGCTCGTGACCTCGGGCGAAAGGGCAAATCATGGCTCATAGGTAAAGATGCAGAACCACTGTGGAGTGTTAAAAACTGTTATAACAGCCGTGCTCATAGTCACGAGCGGCCTGGAAAACTGATGGAATAATTGTATTACTTATTTGCTTGATAATGGTTCCACTACTATCATATTATTATGAATATTTATTCCTTTCATGATCATGTGGTTTAATTGGGGCTTAAGCATAACTTGTTGCTACTTAATGCTAAAATGGTAAAACACTAAAATGATAAATGCAGTAAACCAGTGTCATCCTTTTGAGCTTCATAACCCCATGTTATAAACCAGTACCATATATACTTATGCTTGCTTTATTTTCAATACTTTGGCAAAATCCGGGATGAGTACCAGATTGCTAGAGTCTAGAAGAGTTTAGGCTTGTGATCAACCAGTCAGCTGTCCCTGTGGAGTTGAGTCTTCATACGAAGATCGGAGTTGTCTTTCCGCTATCTGTGCCCAAGGTTATCTTCTTTTGTATTAATACGTTTAGTATAAGCATTATCTTACGATATTACCCTTATTTGTAGCCATATGTGTGATTTGACTTTCTAGGCTCACATATGGTGTGTATCTGGTTTTGTCCTTAAAACTAGATGTTACAAACTGGCATCAGAGCAATGTTGACTATAGGACGCAAGCCTAGATAGAACTGGTCATTTAGCATGTTTCTGCTTTTGCTTATTCGTGCTTTCTTCCTCACCTTGTTATTATTTGTTAAAAGTTATGCTCACTTTCTGTCTCTATTCTGTTATGAAAACTATCTCTATTCTAACTCTTTTCTCTCCATCTAAATAGATGGTTCGTAATGAGAAGGTCGCCTGCATCAGCTCTGGAGGACCATGCCTCAATGGAGGGAACTACGCCTTAACGGAACCACAGGATGGAGAAGCTCTTCCTGCCGCATCAAAGGCTCGGCACACTTGTTGGCGCAAGGGGTACCACACCACATTCTTTAGCGGCGAGGCTTTCTTCCACTCTCGACTTGTGCATATGTTTGCAAGACCACTACCCTGATCAGCAAGCCAAGGTGGAGTATAAATGCACTGAGTGGACCCATCCTAAGTATAAGTACCACTAGAGCACAGAAAGCACACATCACAAGCTAGAATGAAGCTACTGGTTCACGCATGGTGGAATCCATTCACTCGTCTCTCATAGATCACTTCGACATGTATGCTGGCATATCTGGCGTGGCTCATCAAGCTCTTTTGATATATCATGGAAAGCACTATGAAGAGATGAAGGACATGCAAAAGTATTTTCCTAGATGTCTACTAGGAAGATTGCAATGTGTGATAGCTGACCCTCATTCAGAGCTGAATGAACAACTAAAGGAGATGGCCTTGACCATCCAAGTCATCCATCAAAAGTTGGAAGATAGTCAACTGGAGTTGGCAGAAGTAAGGCAACACTATGAGGAAGCCCTTGATGAGATTGATGAGTGGAGGAGTCATGCTAGACTACCCAAGACCAATGAAGTGTAGGACGTGTCCCGCTCATCCCCATGCAAGAGATGCTACCCCGGATGCCACTGCAGCCACACCGTGTTTAAGAAATAGGAGTTTGTGTCCCCTTATGTAATAAAAACGCTAGTAGCGAAAGTCAAGTCAGTTAGCCTTAATGTGTGGCTTGTGAACCTTTAGTATTTGGCTGGATGTATTTATGATAATGCTTGGTTTGGATCTTTGTAATGAGTGTCATGGTCTTGTGGGGTTTGTCCACAAGTTCATTTAGTTAATTGGTCTAAGGTATACGGATTAATGAATAAATAGTGAGGTTTGGTTATATCTTGTTCTCTCAAGTTCTGTTTTTCAGACCAACCTGTCTTTATCAGTTTATACCTCTAACTTTTGTACGACCAAAAATCATGGAAAAATTCTGGACAACAGTACACTTCAATATCTTTGTGAGGCCGCAACAACCGCCCTTATAACTATTTTGGTTTGGGAGTTAATGATAATCACAAGACGACGCATATGTGCTGCCAGCAATCTGGAACAATTTCTGTTGTGCACTGTTTTCAACTACCTTAAATGCATAATCTGAAAACGTGTTCTTTAAGAAAGTTGTAGGTAGTTTGATAAGATTTCCAACGGTGTAAGAAACAACTTAATTGGAGTGACAAAACAATAGTTATGGCTGTTTTACTGCACTGTTGTTTTTCTGCTCGCGAGGAATTGCAGGTTATTTGTTCATACTTATGCACATGTGTTTCTCTTGGATATCAGAATGTCATTATGATAGTCAACTTACCTGAAAGAAGGTTCAAGCTACCCTTTGGTGTTCCCTAGTTGATCTTTTCTTAAGGGGGTAGCCTAACTAAAGAATATACAACATGAAGGTTTTATACGTTCTAGTTTGTCACTTGGAAGCATCGGCTATCTCCATGGTTGCGAAGTCACTATCAAGCGTAGGTATCCTTTCTTAGGGTTGGTAACCTGTTGGATTATCTACAAGGAGCTTGTGCATTTGTCA